AAGCCGGGCACAAAAAATGAGAGCCACACCAAGGCAAAATTTCAAAATACCGAAGGCAGAGCAGTCCTTGACATACTGCAGAAAATTAAAAACCAAAACCCGCAAAACCCCAATGACATTGGTGAGCATATCAAGTGTTGGAAGGCAAAAACAACAAAATAACATCTTTAAAAAGTTCCAAAGAAAAGTATTCATCATACCTGAATATTATACCTAGCCAAACTATGAATTAAATGTGAGGCTAGAATTAAGACATTTTCAAGTTGGCAAGATCTCAGAAAAAAAAAACTTCTCTAGAAGGTTCCATGTTTTCTTGCTGCCAACCATTTCCTTATGTTGGTATTCGCTTACATTCCTTATTAGGCCACTGGCCGCTTTCTATTTATCCGCTAAACTCCATGCCCATGCTGGAAGGACTTTCTGTTTCCGCCAATAGGGGGCAGTCTTCCCACCCCGATGCCTGGGACTCCCGTATGGTACTTCTACTCCACCTGTCAGCATGATTTAAGGCCAAGACTTTTCTCCCTAAACGAACAGTAGAAGCTTTCTGCAGGCTGGCCTTGTAGCCCGTGTACTCACCAACGGTGCCTAATATAATTTCTTTACCAAGGAGATATTCACTGATGAGAGAAGGGTGGATTTAAAACTTCACGGTAATCCATTCTACTAAGAATACTGCACTGAGCCTACTTCATGTCTGCTCCGATCCCTTCTACATCCGGACTTCCTAACTCAGAGTCTCTGCACATAGAGCAGAAGGGATCAGTTCCGGGGAGTAAGAGCGAAAAGAAAAACGGTATTCCTTCATTTAAAAAAAGAAAAAAAAAATGGGTCCGATGACCCAGCAATTTCACTCCTAGATGTACACGTGCGAGAAATGGAAACTTACGTTCATGCAAAAACTTGGACGTGAATGTTCATCACAGCATTATGCACAATAGCCCAAAGTGGAAACAACCCAGATGTCCACCGAATGATAATGGATAAATAAAATGTGATATATACATATATAAATAAATGGAATGTTATTGGGCAATAAAAAGGACTGAGGTACTGACATAAACTGCAGCTCATGAACACTGAAAACATCACTAAGTGAAGGTAACCAGTCACAAGAGACCACCCACTGCAGGATTCCGTTTATATGCGAGATCTAGAGACAGAAAGCTGGAGTGGCTGCCTAGGCCTGAGGGGGTTGGGAAGAAAGAGAAGTGAGTTCTATCTCAGAACGCGGGATTTCTTTAAGGGGCAATGAAAATGTTCTAAAGTTGATCGTAAGGATGGTTGCACACCTCTGTGAATATACCAAAACCTACCGAATTGTATACTTTAAATGCGTGAATTATACCTCATTAAAGCAGGCTTTTAAAAAAGATCGTTATGGGAATAAATTAAATCCATGTATTCCTTGTCTTGAAGGCAAAAATCAAAGAGCTTAAAGAAGGCAAGATTTGCAAAGGATGGCAAAACTGAAAAGGAACAAAACGTTCATTTTGGATGAAAACAAGTTTAAAAAAAAAGTCAGGTCAGCTGATTTTTCTTTGCCTGAAAATACATACATAATTTGTTCACTGTAGAGTTTACCAGTTTAAGAGAAACCATAACAAAGTGCGAGTAAAAGGTACTGGCTTTTACTGGAAGAACAGGGTGCCTGGTTATAGAACCTTTTGTAGGTCACTTAATTTCAAAAGGCAGCGTCTCTAGTCTCACTCCTTGCCAATCACCTTATTTCAGAGACCTGTTCTTGAGGACAACTAATGGATAATGTAGTTCATATTTAAAGAGGGCCAGGTTCTGAAAGCACCACTGAGGTTTCTCCCAGACATTCGCCCAGTGATCTTACTGCACGTGATCTGTGGGGGGCAGGGAGACACACCACCTACTGAGAAAGCCTTCCTGCTGGAGGGATGCTATCTAGGATGGCTATAACAGAAACGCGGAAAACTTCTGATGCTCCCAAGATGGTCGCGCAAGGTGTTTTCAACGATCTAAAATTAAACGATGAATTCATAGATTTTTAAACTTTAAAAGCTTCGTTTTAAAATAGGGCCCACAAAGTCGTACTGACACAAAGGCACGGTGGAAGGCAAAGAGAGAATATAAGCTAATGAGGGGCGCCTGGCTGGCTGTCGGAAGAGCAAAAGACTCCTGATCTCGGGGTGGTGAGTTCAAAGCCCACACTGGGTGTAGAGATTACTTAAGATCTTTTTTTTTTTTTTAAGGTTTTATTTATTTGACAGAGAGAGAGAGAGAGAGAGCACAAGTAGGCAGAGTGGCAGGGAGATAGAGAAGCAGGCTTCCAGTTGAGCAGGGAGCCCGATGCAGGACTCAATTCCAGGAGAAAGCAGGCGCTTAACCGATTAAGCCACTCAGGGCGCCCCAAGTATAAAATCTTAAAAAAAAAAAAAAAAAAAAAAAAAGGCTAATGAGAAAGCCATCTCCAATCCCTCTTTTGCATTCCTTCTTCAGGGGTCCTGGAATTAATAAACCAGACCTACCAAGCCATGAGTTCACATAAAGTACACTTAAATCCGAGTCCTTCCATGGTCTTTCAGAAGATATTCAAATTCTCACCTATCCTAGTGTAACTCATTTGAATACATCAAAGGTTTAAGATATGGACCTAATGGGGTGCCTGGGTGGCACAGTCCATCAAGCATCCGACTCTTGGTTTCAGCCAAGGTCAGGATCTCAGGGTCGTGAGATCGAGCCCTGAGTCTGCTTGAGATCCTTTTTCCCTCTTCCTCTTCCTCTGCCCCTCCTGCTCATGCTTTCTCTAAAATAAATAGATATATCTTTTTTAAAAAAAAAGATACCAACCTAATTTTAAGGAAGAAAAATGGATGTAAATTAACCATTTTCATTAAACAGAGGAAACATTTCTATTGTTTTGCCTTTGTTTTAAATTCTCTTCGTTTTTCTTTCATTTTCTACGTTATTTGTAATGATAAACTTTTTAGTCTGTATGACAAGTAACATGAACCTGGTTTGATTCGGGAAACAGGATTTTGGTCCACACTGGTTAAAAGATATTTAAAATTTCTACGCAGTTGCATCACTTAATCGAGGACTTAAAACACACAGTTATGGACAAAAAACTCCCCAATCAGATAACTAAAGACTTTGAAAACCAAACCTCTAAGACAGTGGGTTGTATGATCATGTGATATGAATCTGAGAAACTGGTTAATTTTGGTATGTGAAAATCACATGAATAAATTAGTGCAAATAAAACACTCTTATTTCTGGAACACAGACTGTTATTTCATTTTTTCCAGACTCTTCTTTGCACCCTGGTGCAAAAATATAGAAGAATTCAGATTCTCAATCTCGAAATATATTAGCCACACTGCACACTTGTGGCCATGAACTTCACTAGTCATACATCTGTTGTTTAATCTTCTCCATTACTTAATTTTATATTTTTTTTATTGTGTAAGAACATTTCACAAGCGATCTACCCTTTTAACATATGAAGTGCATAGTAGTGTTAACTCTAGGCACAATGTCGCACAACAGATTTCTCGGATTTATTCATCTTGCATAACTGCAACTTTCTGCCTGTTGATTAGCAACTCCCCATTTCCTCCTCCTCCCAGCCCCTGGCAACCAACATTCCCCTCTCTGCTTCTAGGAGTGTGACTGCTTTAGACGCTTCCTCGAAGTGGAATTCATCCCTCTGTGATTGGCTTATTTCACCGAGCATAATGTCCTCCAGCTTCATCCACAGTGTCTCATCATCAGGTTTTAAATGGGTGAAGCCTGGTAGAGCAGATTAGTTGATGGCAACCGGGCCACACCTTGCCTTATCAGTTCCTCGCTCCCGCTGTTTACGGCTGTCTTGCAGTCAAGATGGTGTCAGGTCTGGAAATGACTTCCCTGCCTGCTGAGGTGAGAACACTGTTTTGATGTATGCAAAGACTGCTTTTTTTAAAAGTCAAGGCCTCCTAGCCATTCCTCTGTAAACTACTATGGCAACTGTGTAGGGGCCATGAATATTACATAAGGGCCTTCCATGCATTCAAGCCAGAATCTCCAAGCCACAATTCCCATAGCAACGCACAGAGATTTTACTCATCTCAGAGATGAAGCAGCCAGCAAGAGTGCCTAATGCCATCCTTGGTTTTTTTGCTTTTTTTTTTTCTTAAGCAAGATCAACACAGTACTTATTCTTTCTCCAAAGCAAGAATTTTTTTTTTTCCAAAAGAAAACCACCAACCATGTGAAATGGGTTCATTTCAAAGTTACCCAGATCACACACACCAAGATACCGTAAACTTGAACAACAATCTACACTTTTAGAAATAGCTGCCATTCGAATGACTGCATGGGAAAAAGAATTCACATTGTTACAATTAGTGAAATGAACCACCATCTTGGCTAAATACTGTACTTACAGATTTTATATCTGATTTCCAGTCCCCCATCCATATATACACACTTTATTATACGATGAAGAACACGTTTGAGGAAGGAACATTTTATCTGATAAAATCTTTAATTGCTTTATTTTTGAGAAGCATAATGCAATCCATTTTTTCAATGTAAGAAAATACTACTATAAAACACCTATGGAGTAAAATTTGGGGGAAAGATTGTTCAAGCCTAAGAAAATACACATTACCTTGAAGAAAGTTATTTTTCCAAACAGAGAAATGGTTGACTGAAGAAATGAAGTGAAATCATTCTGTTATTAGAAGCAGATTTTTCCCCTTTGTATATTGGGGGATCCTTTTCGGTGTCTAAATAAACTATCCACCCACAGAAATGAGTCAGTTGGATTATAAAACAACATAAAAGCCAAGACCACTCTTATATACCACACTTCCTTTTTCTATCAAGGAAATCAAATACACTCCATTTCTTGCACCTGTTTCAAATCAGACAATGAAATACTGTAAGAGACCAAACATACGTTTTAAAAGAAACTTCCACAGGTGGCCCATCACAGACCCAGAACGACTGGCAAAGAAAGGTTGGCAGAGGAGAAGTGGTTTTACCTTTGCCTTTTCCAGCTGGGCCTGGGCCTGTCGCTCTGCTTCTCTGCGCACTGCCTCCCGATCTTCCTCCAAAGAAACATCTGAATCGGACGGACGGCTGGTGTAGGAGTCTGCCGAACCCTTGAGAGAAAAATTTGCATTTTAAAAGAGATTCCATCTATGATGTTTGCATTGGAAAAGTCTCATTGACACTGCAGTTTGCTTCCGAGATTCTGCTATAAATTCCTGAAAAGAGAAAATAATCCATTTCAGGGCAAGCCATCTAGAAACATCGTGCTCTCCTTCGCAGACCACTCCCTAGGATGGTTGTGCCTACCAAGGGACCATTCCTTCCCAAGGCTTATGCTCCAATGACTATCCTTTCTGGAAGCCAGAGCAAGTCCCTTTATAATTAAACCAGCTCCGTGGTGCAGTGCCCGGCTGAAGGGCACAGAGGGGTTTCAAGGATGCCTTCAAAAACAGACGACATGCTAAAGCAAGTATTTACAACAGGGAAGAAGATACGTCTACTAAAAAACAACATAAAAGAAAGTCTAACGAGTTATAAACTTGAATTCTCTACCATGACTCCCGTTTTAACCTTAAGCATCCTTTTGTACCTTTCCATTCACCTGATACCTTCACCGACAAAACTGTAAGACAACAGTAGCCAGCTTCACTCGATCCTTAACACATTTTTCCATAGCTTTGTAAATCGACGTTTAATAAAAGCTGCCTAAAGCAAACACCTGCCCGGGATAGCTGCTCTGGCAATAAATCACAACATCGGAAAAGGAGCTCAGAAAATTATAGGACTCTCCCTCGCTCCCTCTCTTGCCATCAGGATCATATTACTAAATCACGGGAGCCCCTGCGAGCACTCACTGTAAGGACAGCAGAAGCAGCGACAAGATAGCCTCTCCCCCAGACGAAAGCCCCTGAGCTTACACAGATATCCGAATTCTTCAGCCTTCCTCCCTTGGCTCTTTTCAGAAGCCTGATCCAGGTGGCCTTCATTAGCCAGACAGCGCCTTTCTCATCCGCAGCTGCAGCCCCGGGCACAGATCCTCAGTGCGCGCTGAGCCCTGGAGCGCCCCGGCTCCTTTCCTATCCATGCTCTGGGCAAGCCCCTCTTCTCCGTCCCTTCCTGCCCCCGGGGCTTTCACGCCCTACCCCGGAGGACTCCGATCCAAGGAGATTCTTATTTTCCCCTTCCGGGGGTCGGGGAGATAGAAAACAAACACTCGAATGCCTTATATTGCTTTAAAAAATAAAGAACACTTCAAGTGCATTCAAAGACAGGCATCAACTCGTTCTAAACTTGATGCATCTCATCACTCTAAATATTCTCTTCTCTGCTCTGGGATTGTTACAGGAAATTAGTTGTAAGAGAACCTTTAAAAAAAAAAAACCTAGTGCAGAACGTATGCAGTGACATTTGCAAGTGCAAAGTTCAAGCCTTATCTTCAGAGATCTGGAGGGGGAGGGCGGAGGACGCACTCACCGCACTGGGCATGCTCCATATGTAGCCTTTTTACGCAGATGCTACATCACACTGTTAGTCTATGTCAAATTGCCATTTTGCATCCGAAGTGTAAACAGCTGGAAAGGGCTTTTCGGTTCTATAGTAACAGGCACATGGTATGTCTGTCATGTTGCTGTTGCAGATGAAACATTCTCTCAGAGACAAAGCATGCAATCTTTTCATTTAACGATCCCTTTCCATTACCCTGCTACCGAGAAAGTATATCCTCTGCCATACGACAATTCAAAAAAAAAACCAATATTACATACACGTTATTGGACAGGAGAAATCAACGAATGATGCTCATCAGTCATAACACCAACCTGCTCTTGATTGCTTGTGACTTCCCAAACAAGATGCGGCAGACAGATTTGCCCATTTAATTAGGACATGAAAGTAATCACAGCTCTAAGCAATGAGTTCAACGGAGCTCAAAATGACTTTGAACTGCTTCTCCAACGGAGAAACTATGGTTGAAAGTCCTTAGAATAAATAACAGTATGAATTTTCAGAACAATAACTATGAAGAAATTGCAAAGCTTGGTTGATTAGCTCGAGTTAAGATTTACAGAATAATTTAGTCCAAGTTCTTCTTATAAATAAGGTGATTGAAGCTTGAGAAGATAATTTTCTCTATTAATAGGATTACATTTTTAAAGTTTTACGAAGAAATACACACTTCTAGATTTCTTAAAGTTAAACATAAAATTCCATCACTGCTTTCCAAACTACCGTTTTGTTTGCGTGGTGGGGAGGGGATTATTTTATAAAGTCACATGCAAATGAAAGGTGTTTTTAAGAAAATCTTTGTTACTTTTTCTCTCTTTATTCCTTCTTCCTCCCCCCTGCCTTTCTTTCTTCTGTGGACTAAGACCAATCTTCATGATACAAATGCTAGAATATACAGTAGAATAGAGGCTTTCGAATAAAAGTTACAGATTGAATGCACCTTAATTGTGGTACCATAAATCAATAAACAGATTATTTATATTCTTATGAAGTGAATGCACGGGAGATGCAAAATGCATTGCAATTTTTTATTCCAATAAAATTCACAAGGGAGATAGGAATTTCCCCCCACCAACACACATCCTAGGGGATCCCTAATCTTCCCAGAGGGTTTCTCATAGCAGGAGTAGCATGGTACAAAATTACCAGGAAGCACAACTCCCAAAAAGGACCTCAGACCCCATTTTCACAAGTGCTGGCATTTTAAACCCAATCACCCTGAGGAAGGTTCAGTTCACACCTCAGTGAGGATACAAAGTTTCTGTCATTTTTTTTTTAAAGATTTTATTTATTTACTTGACAGAGAGAGACACAGTGAGAGAGGGAACACAAGCAGGGGGAGTGGGAGAGGGAGAAGCAGGCTTCCCCCCGAGTAGGGAACCCAGTGTGGGGCTCGATCCCAGCACCCTGGGATAACGACCTGAGCCGAAGGCAGACGCTTAACGACTGAGCCACTCAGGTGCCCCGCAAAGTTTCTGTCATTAAGAACCCGCCTAATACGGACAGGAAGAGCCTAACACACACATAATTGTGCGCTATCCCCTTCCCTTTTGAAGAAAGTAAGATTTAAAAAGTCCTTTGCTAATGATCAGATGTAGCTTTTAATTGCAGTCATGTTGACACCTGTTTCCAGGTTTAAATAATAAACAAACAAAAAAAACTAGTGACCTTTGGCCAAGATCTTTTGAATATTTGCAACAATATATTAACTTTTGTCGCTTTTACAATGTGAGATGTGACTCTCAACTGATGTGTAATGCAGCTTATGGAAGGAGCCACGTTACTTTCATCATTCTTTGTATCTGTATTAACAATAGCAAAACGGCCAAGTCTTTTCATCATAGAAGTTACATGAACCCACTGCAGAGAGAGACACAAATAGGCTTGACTAAGGGCGCCTGGGTGGCTCAGTTGGTTGGGCGACTGCCTTCGGCTCAGGTCATGATCCTGGAGTCCCGGGATCGAGTCCCACATCGGGCTCCCTGCTCGGTGGGGGGTCTGCTTCTCCCTCTGACCCTAACCCCTCTCATGCTCTCTATCTCACTCTCTCTCAAATAAATAAATAAAAACAAAAACAAATAGCCATGACTTTAAATTCTCCCACCCAAAGATAACCACTATTAAAGAGTAGTATGTTTTAGCCTCCAGACTTCTTGTGTTTTTGAAAGTCACCCTCCTCACATGTGCATTACAATTAATCTGCTTCCTTCTGGGAGTGTGGATTTATGCAGTTAGAAGTAATATATCTAATTAGGCTTTTGCCTTTGGTACCATATGGACGTTCTGGGTCATTCTGCCTCAAGTAGTCTTCAGCCAGGACAGCAGGAAGGCTGTTCCATAACTCCAGAACAGGTTCATTACAAGATGTACCCTTGATCTCTTGGGCTGCTACAATGTGATTAGCTGGTCTTTTGTAGTTTTGTCCTTATGGGTACCTCACATGTTCAGCTACAGATACTTCCTTTCCTACACCTTAATATTCTCATTCCTCATGGTACAGTTCCAAAATGTAACTTGCTACCTGATGTCTACCAAAACTCATCCTGGATTATTCACTTTTTAAAAAAAATTTTTATTGTTATGTTAATCACCATACATTACATCATTAGTTTTTGATGTAGTGTTCCATGATTCATTGTTTGTGCATAATACCCAGTGCTCCACGCAGAACTTGCCCTCTTTAATACCCATCACCAGGCTGACCCATCCCCCCACCACCCTCCCCTCTAGAACCCTCAGTTTGTTTTTCAGAGTCCATCATCTCTCATGGTTGTCTCCCCCTCCAATTTACCCCCCTTCATCCTACCCTTCTTGCTATCTTCTTCTTCTTTTTTTTTTTCTTAACATATATTGCATTATTTGCTTCAGAAGTACAGATCTGTGATTCAACAGTCTGGCACAATTCACAGCGCTCACCATAGCACATACCCTCCCCAATGCCTATCACCCAGCCACCCCATCCCTCCCACCCCCACTCCAGCAACCCTCAGTTTGTTTCCTGAGATTAAGAATTCCTCATATCAGTGAGGTCATATGATACATGTCTTTCTCTCATTGACTTATTTCACTCAGCATAACACCCTCCAGTTCCATCCACATCGTTGCAAATGGCAAGATCTCATTCCTTTTGATGGCTGCATAATATTCCATTGTGTATATATACCACTTCTTCTATATATACCACTTCTTCTTTATCCATTATGGATAAAGAAGAAGTGGTATATATATACAATGGAATATTATGCAGCCATCAAAAGGAATGAGATCTTGCCATCTTGGCTCTTTCCACACTTTGGCTATTGTGGACATTGCTGCACGTACCCCTTCGGAACCCTACATCTGTATCTTTGTGGTAAATACCCAGTAGTGCAATTGCCGGATCGTAGGGTAGCTCTATTTTCAACTGTTTGAGGAACCTCCATACTGTTTTCCAGAGTGGTTGCACCAGCTTGCATTCCCACCAACAGTGTAGGAGGGTTCCCCTTTCTCCACATCCCCCCCAACATCTGTCCTTTCCTGACTTGTTAATTTTAGCCATTCTGACTGGTGTGAGGTGGTATCTCATGGAGGTTTTGATTTGGATTTCCCTGATGCCAAGTGATGTTGAGCACTTTTTCATGTGTCTGTTGGTCATTTGGATGTCTTCTTTGGAAAAATGTCTGTTCATGTCTTCTGCCCATTTCTTGATTGGATTATTTGTTCTTTGGGTGTTGAGTTTGATAAGTTCTTTATAGATTTTGGATACTAGCCCTTTATCTGATATGTCATTTGCAAATATTTTCTCCCATTCTGTCGGTTGTCTTTTGGTTTTGTGGACTGTTTCTTTTGCTGTGCAAACGCTTTTTATCTTGATGAAGTTCCAAGCGCTCATTTTTGCCCTTGCTTCCCTTGCCTTCGGCTATGTTTCTAGGAAGAAGTTGCTGCGGCTAAGGTCGAAGAGGTTGTTGCCTGTGTTTTCCTTTAGGATTTTGATGGACTCCTGTCTCACATTTAGGTCTTTCCACCATTTGGAGTCTATTTTTGTGTGTGGTGTAAGGAAATGGTCCTGGATCATTCACTTTTATCCTCAGAACTCTTACTCCAAATATGTGTGCTTTGCTTATGGGAAAATCAGTTAAATTGGATTAATTCATGCTTTAAAAAAATTTTTTTTATTATTATTATTTTTTTTTTTTTTGAGAGAGAGGGAGAGGGAGTAGGTGGTGGGGAGGGGCAGAGGGAGAGGGAGAGAGAGAATCTTAAGCAGGCTGCATGCCCAGAGTAGATTATAAAGTTTGCTTGTTTGATGCTGTACTCTACTGTTTCAATCATATAGATTTCCAGCATCATTTTTCTTGAGCGTTCTTTTTCTTGTATTTTCTCTTTTAAAGACAAAAGGGTAAGAATCAGCCTATTCAGGAGTGGATCTTGGATCCCAAAGTGGTCATCTATTTTTGTAGGAAATCTTCATATGAACACTAAAGCAAAGTTCTTGGGCAAAATCAATTTCTCATGGTATCCCAAGGCTACCCTGAGTCTAGATAAATCTATGTTCCATCCCAAACCCTCAGGACTTCAAATGACCCTCCACATGTATGGGACGATGCTAAACCAATGGCAAGTTTGACTTCAATTATTTCCTCCTGACCTGCCATGGGATGATAGACATCCCATTGCCATACTCTTCAGGCCCACACTTTTAGGAAAAAGCAAA